CCCTTTGATGCAAGAATTCATCAGCTGGCTCTGGTTATGATCAAGGCTGAGATTTTGAAAACCAAGGGCTAATATAGGAACATCCAAACCAGATCAGGCTCAGGCACTTAAATCCTGTCTCCCACAGAAAGCTTTGCTGGGAAAAGAGCATGAAAGCAAAGCAATCATATCATGATTACCTCCCCAGAATGAAATGTAGCTTCCCCAGAACACCCTCCTAGTCTCCAAGGATTTGCAGTACAGGGAATTCTTGAGAATGAAGTTGCAGGTTGTGTAATTACCCTCAATGGATAAATTTATGGTCAGGATTTAAATGAACTTTCAGTATCCACTATGCCCAGTGAGTTCTTATACAGATGAAATGCATGTTTAGAGATGCTGGGGAGAATATTGTGAGTCTGTGCTTATTATCAGCTTGCCATGCAAATATCCTGTATCTCCTGGCTGGAGATACAGAAAGCAGCCTTGCTCCAGCTTATTCCTGGGGAATGCCATCTACTGGTGGAGAAGAAGTTGTTGTGCAAATACATTCAACTGCCAGAAACACTGTTTGCCCAGAACTTGAGTATCTCTCTGACTAGAATTGCCAGATTAGCTGGACTATGTATCTGGACATTATCAGTGCAAATAAAGGAGGTGACATGCCAGGGGGAAAAGGAACTTTTCCAAGGATTAGGGAAGAATGAACTAAAAATGTGAAATAAGCCACAGTCTGGGTACCTCTGATTTTTGCAATGCTCTCATCAATACAATGTTAAGAGATATTTTTGGAAGTCTGTCCAGTCCTCACTGAGTGTAATCAGAGAACATTTGGTTCTCTGTAATGTACTTGCAGCCAAGAGACAAAATCAGGATGACATCCTTTGATGCTGGCAACATAAATGAATTTGCCTAAGTGAAATACTGATCCATGAAGTATCCAGGCTAGGAAGCACATCCATGACAAAGATGGATCCCCAGACTGCTGAACTGGTTATACAGGGTACCAGGAATAACAGGTAAAACTGCTGAATGAATCCAGAAGGAGCAAAAGGAAATAAAAGTACTTGCAGTATCTGTATTTTGTTACAATGCTGCTCAGTTCTAATGAAATTCTGGAGTAACCTTAAGGCAATTGCCTATGGGATGACTGTTTCTATTTACTGCAGCCTAATAATCCAAGTTCATTAGTTAAATCATATTTCAAATCTCTCATCTGTATTCATCAAACTCACAAGTCTTACTTCTTGACAAATAGTTATTAAAACAATAAAACCAGACATCAGGGGGGCCCCAGGCTCGTGATGTTTGGATGGATTCCCATGGAGTGGGACATGGCAATTGTGGCCCCCCTGAACTGCACAGCACAGAGCAGACCCCACTCAGCCCAGCCTGGCCCCTCTCCCCTCCCTCCCTGTGTCACATGTGAGCACAAGAGGCTTTCCTTCAGCAGCAAGTCACACTAGAAGAGGATGGAAACCAGTTTGTTGATGTCTGAGCAGGCAGTGATGCCTCCCAGCAGGAACCAAAGTGCTGCAGTCTGCTTTCTTTGTGCCAGAGCCATTCCCTTGCAGGTGCCTTAAAACCAGGCTGGGAGAACTGCACCAGCTGCTGCTGCTGACACCCACACCAAAGATGCCACAGCCTCATCCCCCACAGGACAAGCTCTATGGATGTTTCCTTACTGAAGAAAAGAAAGTTCCTCCTTGGTAAATGGTTGGACACACTGTGAACTCTGAAGCAGATGCCCTTCCACTGGCACTGGTCAAACAGTTGATTTTTCTCTGCATGTGTGGGAACAAGAAGAAAATGTGAACTGCATCAAATGCAGGAAGACTTCTACAGAACATTTTAAAAAATGAAGGTAATCAGTAGGCAAGCAAAACTCTGGCTGGCAAAGGGTATAAGGCTAATAGGAAATGCTCATGGAAGAATTTAGTTTTCCTCATTCATTTAACTAGGATCAGCTCCAACAGCAACATTTGATTTCCCAAGTGATAAAGCCTTACAGGCATTTTCTCAGAGAGTCTAAAATCATTCCTTTTTTCTTGGCCAAAATACCAATCATTCATAGCAAAAGGATAGTTGACAACAACCTTTAAAAATAAAACAGGACTATTAACAAGTACATATTTTGTCAAGATTTGCAAAACTACTAATGCATAGTTTCTTTTAAATAAGTGAAGGTTCTAGCTATGGCATCCCCTTCTAGAAGTGTACAACAATTTCCCTTTAGCTTCAGTAAAGCTTTGGTACCAGAGAGCATGTGGCACACCAAGGAAACTGCCCCCCATGTGGAAGTATCTCTGTAAAGAACAACAAGAAGAACATTATGTACACTGTGCTATTTGCAAAAGGCACAATGACTTAGCTTTGGGTTCAGATGCAGGCAAAGACTCAATGTAAATATATTTATTACCTTACTTAACTGGAAGAAGACACCAGAGGGGTCTTCAGTACCCTCTGGCCCAAGAGGCTCTACAGCCAGCTGGAGTGTACCCCCCTCTCCAGGTGGTTTCCCAAGTATTTTTGGAAGCTGATTTTGGGCTGTTCTGGAAAAACAGAACTATCTGTCTGCCATGTGGGAAAATTATTCTGTTTTTCTGTCATTGCTCTGGATATACTCACCCACATATGCTGGAGTCATGGGAAATGGCATGATTCAGACAGCTCTCAGAAATTACGGAAGGATGTCTTTGGAAGTGAAAACAATTTTCAGGAAATCACAGGGGGAAAAAACAGTTAAAATTTCAGAACACATCGGTATTGATATGCCTTGAAAAACAACACTACATCTTTCACTTTCTTGGGCTATTGTCACTCCTCTTTACTAACTCTAATAATTTACATATCTTAGAGCAAGAAAATGCTTGAAGTCTGGATTTTATGACATGTTGTTCTGAGAGTGCTGCCCACCTAATGCACACTTGTATCACTAGCACAGTCTTCAACAATAAGTCTCCAGAATGCAGAGTTATGGACTGATAGCTCATGTTTTTAGAACAGAGTTTGTTAAGACATCATCCCCTGCCAAAGCAGCAATAACAAAGGAGCTTTTAAAGGCAGTAAAGGCAATTATGGGACTTACTGAGAATCTCAAAATCTGCCAGGAGGAAAACACTACAAAAGCTCCTTCACATAAAGAACACAAGTTTACATGCTGCAAACTCACTGAGCTGCTGTAAAATTACTTTACATTAGAGGAGTTAAAGAATATAGCAATTATTCATGAAAGAATGAATTCTTCCATGTTTTCCTGGTGCTTGAGATATTTATTTTTTTTCTTTTGAGTCTCTTGGCTGACTCTTTATCTTTTATATACCACAACACGATCAGAGAGCAGTTAATATCACAAGCTTGATCTTGTCCAAACTGAAGTGAATGGAAAACTGCCAATAGGGCTCAAAGAGTAGAGAAAATGAGTCCCCAAACTAGGAGTTAATCACAAGCTCCATTGTTCCTTTCACTTTTGTTTTGCATGGCTTTACTTATTTGCTTTAGGGAGAAAATGATATGGGGACATGTAAAAGGAGTATTTTCCTCACACATATTGGACACGCAGATGCCATTTCTGTCTCTGCACTGGCTGTATCATAAGCAGTTTAAATTGCAAACTATCCTCAGAGGAGCTCCTGATTTACAGAGATTAACTGGCCTGGAATTTGTACTTCTAGCATTGACAAAGGCTTTATCTTTCCCCTGAGGAAAAGGCCAGTCCACTGTTACCCTGAGAACACATGCTTCACCCCAGACAAATAAGAGGGAAGTAATTCAGCTGCTCTTGTTGTCTCACCTGATGCCCGTTGGAATAGCTCTCTTTAGAGAGCTGCTGTGATTGCTTCTAAACTTATTTCAAACTGCCGATTTATGCAAATCTTTTATAAAAGAGGAGTTTGCCACCTGTGAAACATTGGCTGAATGGCTGAATTAAGGGAATATTATGCATTGGTTTTGAGCAAGTTCTGTTGCCATTTAGTGATAAAGGGGCCCTACCGAAGGCGGCAAACCCCAAAGTGCTCTCAGCCTCCAAGGAACTCTCATGGAAAGGGAGGCAAAGCCCATCCCTCAATGGCCATGTGTTTTAAGGCAGATGAAGATCCAGCGGGCCAAAACAGGTGAGCAGAGATAAAGCTGCATTCCCTCTTCTGAATTACCCTTCAAACTCAACAAAGCTCAGCAGCCTGAGCAGCTCTTTCAGGGGTCCCTATGTCCCTGCTCCCCGGGCAACCTCAGCCATCGTGCTGGAGGCTGAGGGAGGCCCAGGCCCTTTCCTGGCTGCTCCTGGGTTTGGTTTTTGAACAGAGCTCCCTTCCGGAACACCGGCTCCTTGACATCACCACGACAATGCACTTCAACCCTCTCCAAGGCCACTGCCCGTTTTGAAAAGAAAAGTCTCAGAAATACCTCATTCCTGCAATGTTGAGGGAAGGAGTAGCCAGGCCGGGCAGTGAGCCCTTGTTGGCGCTGTCCCGGAGGGAAAGGCTGAGGCAGAGGAGGGGTTCCCTGAGGGCGAGAGCGCACAGCCCGCCCGGAATGGCAGAGCAGAGACCACCGGGGAGCGCCGAGGGCACGGGCACCAGCTGGGGTGCGGTGTGGGGAACCGGGCAGGCAACCCAGCCTGCCTCGGCACCGGCTGCGAACGGACTGGGACGGACTGGGAGAGGCGCTGGGAGCGTCACGGCCGGGCTGGGGAAGGCGGGCACGGGGCGCTCCTGCCCAGCCCCAGAACCCCGGGCTGAGGAGGGGCGGGTAGCGGGCACGGGGCGCTCCTGCCCAGACCTCCGGGCTCCAGCCGCGGGCTGGGGTTTCCGGCGCACTCCCCGCTCCTCAGCGCCGCCACCGCACTCCAGGAAGTTTTGCCGAACCGACTCCGACCCCAGCAGCGGGCGGATTGGGCTGGGCAGGGCAGGGCAGGGCTGCGCCGCCCGGCCCCTGGCTCCGCCCGGCGGGGCTGAGCGGGGCGGGGCGGTGCCGCAGCCGAGCTCGGGTCCGGGCAGTGCCGCGGGCTCTCCGCCGGCACCATGGGCCGGGACGGGCCGTGGCTGAACCTGTCCGGCAGCGCCTGTGCGGCGGGCGGGCCCTTCCCCGCCGGCACCGCCGCGCTGCTGGCCGCGCTCATGGGGCTGCTGGTGCTGGCCACGGTGCTGGGCAATGCCCTGGTCATTCTGGCCTTCGTGGTGGACCGGAGCCTCCGCACGCAGGGAAACTTCTTCTTCCTGAACCTGGCCGTGGCCGACCTGCTGGTGGGTGAGTGCCGGGGCGCCGCGGGGCGGGGGGGTGGCTCCGCCCGTGTCACCGCCGAGCTCTGTCCGCAGGCGGCTTCTGCATCCCCCTCTACATCCCCTACGTGCTGACGGGCGAGTGGAGGCTCGGCAGGGGCTTGTGTAAGCTGTGGCTGGTGGTGGACTACCTGGTGTGCACCGCCTCCGTCTTCAACATCGTCCTGATCAGCTTCGACAGGTTCATCTGTGTCACCAGAGCGGTAAGGGCTGGGCAGGGGGTGCAGCGGGCAGGCAGGGGCTCCAGGGCTGCCCTTCCAGGCACGGGGATTGCTTAGGGCACCTGGCTCCCAGCGCCCTTGAGCCTCTCTCGAACAGCGCATGAGACACGGGCGAGCTTCTCTCAGTCCTGGAAACAGTTCTGGGAGTAATCGGCTTTGCCAGAAAATGCATTTCCTTCTCACTTTCACAGTGGAAGAGGTGCTCTGCTTTACAAACAGGCACAGACTGTGTCTGCAGAGAGAACAAGGTGTACTTATTTCCTCCCCAGCTGCATCTTGAATAAGGTGTAAGGTATGACCCAGCTGAAGCAGAGCTGCCCCCTCAGGACACGGCCATGCCCTGTTGATAGCCCGCAGGCAGAGACCTGCTCGCAGTGGCTGTCGAACTCTCAGGGGAATTGGATGTGTGCGGCTGTGATGGGTCAAAAGTGGCAGATAAGAAATTAACATCTCGCACAGGATGCAAATGCCATTTCTGTATAATGGCCACAGAAATAGCTCAAGTCCTGTCTGCAGCATGCCACCTATTAAAAAAGGAAGATTAGACTTTGCACCTAATTTACACCTAGACCATAATGCCTCAAAGTATTTTGGATGGTGTCAAAATAACACATTTTACCTGTTAATAGGTTTCACACTTCTACACACACTTCTTGGTTAGTTCCACCCCCAGTTTCTTCAAGTGTTCATTTAAGTTTGTTGCTCATTTAAATCACCAAAAGTACAAAGAGAGGCTGCAGAATCAATGCAGCAGTTTTACCAACTTCTTTTTGAAGAGGGAGAAATGAACAGATTAATTCTTTAACAGTCAACACTCAGAATTCCTTTATTTTCTAGGTTCTGAATTAGCCATGAATTTTTCTTTCAAAAACCAATCTCTCATGACTATGCACATAGTATAAATATATAAACTAGACGGTTTCAGAAACAGAAATGAAAACTGGTCATAATAAATGAAAATAATCATCCACTTGAAAATACTTCTAATTAATCCCTCATATAAAAATCCCTCCCCAAGCAAGAGTACAGAAAATGACTTTTGGGTTAGGGCAGTAAGAGAACACATAAGCAGTACTATCTGAAGTTCCAAATTATTCTGAATCTCAATGAAAATAGTAACTTCCTCCAAGACTGCTCCTAAACCATTCATAGCTTTGTTAAGGACTGCAAAATCAGACCAAGTTCAGACACACTCAGGTTTCCTCAGCTCTGTGGCTCCTCTACCAGAACAGCACTGGCTGTGGAGATCAAGGCCCACAGATGGGGGCAGTAAACGTGAACCCTGTACAGAATTTAAGAATTTCATATTCCAAAGGCTGTGTGGCTGCACTGTGGAGATGTGAAGGGTGAATTCCAAGCTACTACACGAGTATGTGTCCTCAGGAAAAACATTCCAGGGAATCAGAAATAGAGATGATCTTGACTGATTAATTCTGATTAATTCCATTGCTGATATGGCTTACTGGCTCAGTATTAGTGACACATTATTTGTGCACCTTAGCTTCTCTATTTTCTAAATAACTGAAATCAGTTGTTCTTCTGTAAAGCACTTTGCAGATCACAACACTCCATCTATACACCTTAACTGAAATAGGAATTCTTAAAGTACTTGATGAAAGAATGAAATTAAGTATATCAAACAGAAGAAGGTGTTGTACAGTAAATTGTGTGATTTTCACATTAGGAAAGAGTCTCTCTACAAAGTAGAAATAAAAGAACTTGCCTGATATTCTGTGAATTCAAACCCTTTTACGCATATCAAATTATTTAAAAATTCCAAATAAAGGGTCCAATAAACGTTTTTAGCCATTCTGTAAACAGGTAGCACAGCTAATGCAATTAAATATGAAACTGGTGACAGCCAGTTCTGGGAAGAGCAGTGGTTATTTGCTTTAAAGGAGACTTAGTTTTCAAGCTTTTAAGATCTGATGCATTTTTCAGAACTTATTCCATCACCTTGGTAAGGTTTCTTGGAAGTCATATTTCAGAAGTAACTCTTCTGTGATACCAGTAAGCTTGGTCCAAAACCCTCGTCCCAAACCCAGTCTCTCAGCAACCCTCACAAGTGACAGAGAGGGCCATGCTCCAAAGCAGCCACATGGGAGATGTGTAATGTGTGTGACTCTTGTCCCTCAGGTCAGCTACAGGGCTCAGCAAGGGATGACCAGAAATGCAGTGCTGAAGATGCTATCTGTATGGATTGCTGCTTTTCTCCTCTATGGGCCAGCCATCCTCAGCTGGGAGCACATTGCCCAAAAGAGCATCCTCCCTGAAGGAGAATGTCATGCAGAATTCTTCTACAACTGGTATTTCCTAATGATTGCCTCTACTGTTGAATTCTTTACACCTTTCATCACTGTTATGTACTTTAACTTAAGTATTTACCTTAACATCAGGAAACGCACATTGCTCCGAAATGAAAACCTCTCACTCGGTCAAGAGGACTGTCAAATGAATTTCCAGGGGGCAAAAAGGGAACACACGGTGTTTTTTGTAAAGCCAGCTAACAGAGACAAACAGGAGCAGAGAGCAAGCAGCCTCCTTCGTCCAGAGAAGGCTCCAAGGCCTCAGGCCTCGGCTGAGCTGGGCAATCAGCCACACAATCTGAGTGCCAGTCTTGAGCTTCCACCCCTCCAGGTGGATGTACAGACCAGGCCTCCCAGGAGTGGCTTCTGCCAAGCAACAGAGAGCCTTTGCCAGCCCAGCAGCAAAGCGGACGTTGCTAACGTCATGGCAAACAGATTCAGACTTTCCCGGGACAAAAGAGTAGCAAAGTCCTTAGCAGTGATTGTCTGCGTGTTTGGCGTGTGCTGGGCTCCGTACACACTCCTGATGATCATCAGGGCAGCCTGCCACGGGCACTGTGTGCACCACTCCCTCTATGAGATCTCATTCTGGCTCCTGTGGGTGAACTCGGCCATCAACCCTGTTCTCTACCCACTGTGTCACACGAGCTTTAGGAAGGCCTTCATCAAACTCCTGTGTCCACGAAAAGCCAAAATTCATCCTGACATTTTGATGTGAGAAGTAGGAAGGCTGAAATAGTACATATTGTATTTGGTGGGAACACCAAAAAGCAAGTATTGCAATACCTGCAAATATTTATGGAATACTGGTAAGTAGGCACAAGTGTAGATATTTATGAATATGTAGAAATATAGTCATCCATGTAGCTGGGAAAATCACAGCAATTAAAAGAAAGGTAATTTTTCAAAGCTCTTTGGGAAATTACACCAACAGTGTATTTTCTGGTAATGGTGGACTACTGTTGAAGTGCTGAAAACAAAAAATAACTTTCATGGCTAATAATTAGATTTCAGGCTCTGTCACTTTTAATAACTGTAAATATTGCTGGAATTTCATAAAGCATTAATCTTAGATCTGTTATATCTTACTCCCAAATCCACTTCAAGACATCAAGAATCTCAGTTGTTAAGTCTAGGATGCTTTTCCTGCCTCCACTTAGTGGCAAGTCAAACAAGGCATGACCAAAGATAAAAATACTGGAAAAGCATGGGACAGGAGGCAGCACAACAGTGATGTTACCAGAGAAGCTGAGCAACTGTAGCAGGTAAGGGAGCCCTGATGTGAGGGAAAAGGTGATTGAAATAGAAGAAAGTGGAATATTTAGTAGAACAAAGTCCAGGAACAGAAGTTAAAAGGGTTTTGAGCTTTTTAATAGGAGATACAAGAATTGGTAACTTACACACTGGAAGAGTTTCACTAGGAGTTCCCTCCCTCAGCAGTGCCTTCCTGCATGGGCAGGAATCTACTGAGGTCAAAACTCCACTCCTTACAGGGCTGAGGCTATTACCCTGTGCTTTGCTGTAAACACAGAGTAAGCCTAAGTAGTCTATGAGATCCATGACAGAGCTTTAGGTAAACTTCCAGTAATTTTTGAAACATTTAGACTTGGACCTTTACTACTTCTGGCTAGATTTAAAAAAAAAAAAAAAAAAAAAGTAGTGTTGTTTTCCCCTTCCCCACTCATTCAATCTTTCTATCCATCAGGTCACTAGTGGTCAAGAAAGTATCACTTCAAGTGTTGAGATATTTCCCAGGTTATGCATCATGACTGGCATGACTCAAAGTCTGTTCCAATTTTACAGCCTTGCTACTGCCCAGTCTCTGCCATTGTGCCTGTGCCACAGGAGCAGCTCACACAACTGATTCTGAGCTTGGAGTAGGTTTGTCCCACCAGGTGTCACATGGAGCATCACTAATGATACAAGTTTGTTCCACCATCACCAGCATTTACTGCATAACCTAACAGATGCTTTCATTGCTGACAAGTGATAGTTACTGAACAGCTCTAATTGTGCATTGGCATAGTCAAAATGCATGGTAATACAACTGATCTTAAACTTTACAGGCAGTAAAATTATATACTTTGTAAACTTTCAATAAAAGTAATTAAGAGCTGTGGAAGAGTCCTAACTGTGTAGCCCTTACAAGTGGAAGAGGGTGAAAAAGCACCAGACTACAACATTTGGGTGACTGCAGCTGAAACTGCAAAACTGGTATTTCAAAGACACTTTCTAAGTTACAAGGACTGACACTGAGGACTAAACAGACATGGTTAGCAAATACTGTAAACTAGAAGGGCATCTCCCTACACTATGAACATATCCACATGAACATAATCACCACACTCTGCTATGGATGTGCTATAACAAAACACCTTAACAGTTCTGCTATGAGGAACAGTTTCAACAGATACAGAGCAACATGAAGAGTTTTGAATCAGCATCAGTTAGAAACCAGGGGAAGTAAAGCCTTTAAATTATCTCCCCATTCATTCCAAGCCAGACTTATTCATCAGTATATTAATGATCTAATTGTTGTCTACTCTGCAATTGTTTCCTAGGATTGTATTTGCCTTTCTCAGAAAACACGTAGCACTAAATTACTGAACAATCCCACCAAAATCTCATTTCATTTAATATCCAATTAAGCCAGGACACATTTTCAGAAAACAGTGTTCACTCAAGGAGTAATGCAATTCAATGAGTTATCTTTAGAACACCACGTTCAGTCAAGGCAAAGCAGCCAGGTCAGAACTGCCAGCAATTGGCATTAACCCATGGACAGGACCAGCAGAGCAGCAGCTGCCAGTGGCTGTGCTCTGCTGCTCAGTTCCCTACAGCACTGGCATTCAGCCGTCACTCTCTGGCACAGAATCCAGCAGGATTCTTCTTCACTCCAAGCATGTCATAAAAACATTCTGAAATGTGAGCACACATCATCTCAGCACCACGTGGAGAAACACTGGCTTTGTATCACAAACTCCCACATTAGAAATGGTGGCAGCTGCCCAGCTCAGCCAGGGTAACTATGCCTTGATTCTTCTGTCCCTACAAAACCAAAGTTCTTTCACTTTCATCAGAAGGTTCAACAGTGGGCTCTGAAGAGACATGAAACAACAGGTGTTAATAGCAACTTTATTGTTTCACCGGTGCAAAATCATGATACTGAATAAACTTGTGTAATGCATTTTCCCCTAAATTTACAGTAATGAAGGTTATACATATCTATATAGATTGCAATTTCTCTATTTTTTTATACTATTTGGAACAAAATTATCTTGATAAATATGCCCTGTGCACAGTACTGGCCCTCACTGAATGTCACAGAGCCTTAATATGCAAAATATAACTTCTGTTTTTGAACATGGTACTTTAAAACTCTCCAAACATGCATTAATATATTCTAGTTTTAGGGAAAAATATTACACTTAGTCTTAACTTGGCATTAAAACAAAAGCACAAGCAGAATTTGACATACAATAATCCCAAAAACCTGATGCTCTGTAAGGATCAGACACAGTTTCAGCTGACAGTCACTGCCAGTTTAGAGCTCTAGTGCTACAGAAGCAACAGTGAACAGACAGAAGAGAAATCAGAACTGAAGAGCCCTACCATGTCACATGGATTTCAAAGAAAGTTTCAGCCATGCTAACTGATGAAACCTGTAGTTGCTGGTCCAACCTTCCAAATTTGTTAAGAGTACTCAACACAAGTGTTTGAAGTGCCAGACTGAACACATGAATGTTAACTTGACATTTCTGAAAGGCACAACCTAGGAACCTATCTTAAAAAAAACCATGGTATGTAAATGAAAACAGGTACAGTGAGTGTCTCTCTAAAGAACAAGACCTTCATAAATTGGCCCCTCAGATTCCGGTGATTCCCTCCTCAGACGCAAGTGCTCCAGTGTGTTGTGAAAGTGTTTGTTAATTTGTTCTGTTTCTTCAGTAGACTCAAGGTTTGGGAGATCTTCTCTGATCTTCTGTATAAGCTGATTCAAAACCTGAATTGTCACCTACAAAACATAAAACAGAAGTCTCAACACCCTCTGTGTACAAGTGCACAGACATTGGTTTGAACAGACTTGTCTCTAAGCTCTCTGTCTTTGGACCATCTTTCAAAATGCTGATAAGACTCTATGCAGACAAACTGCTGGGCACTCTCTTCTTGTAACTATTCCAGCAGCATTTCTCTCCAGTGTATTCAATACAAATTTTAAAAGCTTCAGACAAATGGCACACACAATCTGACTGTATATGCACTGTGAGATAATTGTTTCTTATAGAAGTCAGTCAGGATGGTAATATCAGATTTAAAGTTATTCTTAGAGAACAAGCCATGGCTGCCTACAGGCTGAAGTTCAGCACTACACAAAATGCACTGCAGGCCACCAGAGCATCCAGAGAGTATTTTTACATCTGCCAAGTGCTTTGAAATTCAAAGCTTTGTTTTCATCTCCATCACATACAGCATCTCCTATACTAGAGCACCCCTATACTGAGAAGCCAGTTAGTTATTGGAAAGTCAGCAAATCCCTCAAATTTCTTTAGGAATTCTCTCAGAACTGCAGGGTATTCTTTAATGTCTGGTCTCAATCAATGACATCAGAGAAGACACTGATCTCTACTTGGCCAAACAGGTTTTTCAAACTGCATAACTCTTCTTTATCTGCTAACAGAAAATGGATCAGGCAACTATCTCAGATTATACACACACACAATTTAAGCTGAGTACATATGGTGTCATATCTATTTTAGAATTTAAAGCTTACACCAACCTGGCAGAGTCAGCAGTGACCATGAACATCTGTAAAGAATTTTCCTTCCCTTATGTACCCATCAAGTTTGGTACCTCTAAAACTACTACTTTCTCATCTAAGTTCCAGTAAGTTTTATTCTGAAATATTTTAGGTATACAAGTCTCACAATGTTTAAATTCATAACTGAACTGCTAATATTTCCCCCCAATGTGAGAAAAACGAAGTTTAATCCAATCCTTTTACTAGCACATCAAGAATTGACTCTTATCACAAGAACTTGTGCCTCTCATGAGGCTACAGGGCAAGCTGAAGAGAATTTGTGGTATAAGTGTGAATGAAGAGCTTAAAGAAACCCTCTTTAAAAAAGATGCAACAGAGAATGGATTTCCACTCACCGCCTCATTTTCCTTTTCATAAAAATAGATATATCTATTCAGAATTTCTATGAAAAGCTGGACTTGCAGAGAAGGGTCCATGCACTGATTTGCTATCTTCAGAGCCTTCTTTAGGCATTCCATCACTCTTTTTCCTCCATGAAGCTAGAAGGAAAAACACCAAAGTTACAAGAAATAAAAGAACCTTAGGGAGCTCCAATATCTCCTCCCTTGGCACACGCATCATTTCCTGGGGTTCTGCCACAGAAACACAAAACCACACAAACTGCAAAGAGCAAGCTGTCACTGAAAGCTTGCCCTGCCTGACTGCCACCACCATTAGATTTTGTTAAATCACACAGCAACATGAACAGTTGTTGAAAGCCTTCAATTATGAGATCAATTGACTCAATTTTGTAGCATGTACCATAATGCATACTTTGAAAAATATGTTTCAAACACTGCTCCTTAAAATGACAACAGCTTATGTGACAAGCCCTGAAGAACACAGAGGATTTTTTAACCTTTACTTCAACAGCTTGTATCTGTAATTTGGAAGTTTAGTAGTTCACATGCAAACTGAGCTAATATAATAAATACAAGCAAAGTGCAGCCCAGTCAACTAGCCTTTAACTGGCTGACACTCAAAAGCTTGCCTGGTACTTGCACCCTTAAATTAGAGTTTCCTCCATGTTTTTATTTATGCAGTTTACGCTCCAGTGAGTTTTAGAAGTTTCACATATTAGAACCTACATCACCAATGTATCTACTTTAGAAGTGTCCACAGAAGGAAGGCAGCACTGTTAGTGAGGCAGGATGTGTCCCACTGCTGTCCCTTTGTTCTTACCTCCTCTCCATTCTTGTCAGTGTTTCGGCCAGACCAGAACAGATGGGCACAAGTGCTCACAGCTCTGCACTGGTCTGGCTTCTTCAGGAGTTTGGAGGCTGCCAGTGCACACTGAGTCCTCAAAGGCTCGTGGTTCTCCTCACTGAAGCACTTCATCCTCTCAAATGTCCCAATTATCAAGGTGATTGCAGCCAGCTGTGCTTTTGAGTCACTGATTTCATCTTCATATAGAGAGAAGGCCTAGACAAGGGAGAAAGGAAGACTCAATCAGAACACATCAGGAAAAAAAAATCACACCTGCTACTCACACAGCAAGAAACTGTCCAGTTTTGCATTTGTTAAAAGCTTCAGGCAGGAAAAAAAAACTTTCATGTAGAGTGTAAAATCAAGTAAATCCACAGACCAGAAAAAGTCTTACAAGAAATAGTATTCAAGTGGTCATAGCAAATAAGTGTGCTTCCACGTAAAATCTGAAGATTGAGTTTTTCCTCATTCAAGCACCTATTCAGACACAGAACTTCAGCAGCAGAAACAATCCTTGAAGAAGATTTGGTTCTTTGAAACACACAAAACAGCTGAGCAGAAGCTGACAGCAGGTCAGTGATGACAGAGCAGGTAAGAAAAGCACTTGCACTGCTGCTACATGGATGAAGAATCTTCAGAGAA